AAACAATGTAATAATATATATAATATAATATAATATAACATATATATTAATAATGTAATATATATAATAATATAATATATAATAATATATATAATATAATATAATATAATAATATATATAAATATTTTATGTATATACCATATTATTATTGAACAATTGTGAAAATTTATTCGATTTCATTATCTTCATCTTCACCTCAGTGAGTATCTATGTTAATTACTCGCGATCATTTATTTTAGTATTAATTGAATTACTTTGGGATATATATATACCATGCTCATTACAGTTTTATTTTTGAAATGGATATAAATCATGCAGATAAACGTATTTACGAGTTTTACTATTATCTTTCATTACGTATTTTATTATTTGATTATTCTTTCATGGCCAATAACACGGACAGATATCCGACGGAAGTTCTCAATACCTAAAAGAAATTTTATAATTCTTTATTATAATTACCAATTACACAATAAGAAGTAAACGATTACTTATCGATATTTAGCGGTCCTGCCTCGTTTGAACTCACTGCGTTGAAAAATTCCAGACAGAAGGGACTAAACTTGCCGGCGGTTATTTGAAACGATATCCTCGATCGGCGTATTAACATAATCAACGATACTGCTTGTTTCGACGGCAAATTATACCATATGCAGTTGTATGCAGACTGAGCAACTCCGGTACTCTAGAATTTGTAGTGCTGTTATTGTTCATTAATTATAAAAAAAAACAACTAAAATTCGTTTTTCTAATAACAAAAAAGACGGTACGCATTTAACAAAATTTGTCGTTTGTTTTTGTATAAAATCGCGTAACTTTGAAGAAACATTTAAAGCGTTTAACTTTACGAACTTGACGAATTCTTTTACTTTGTGTTCTACAAATGTTTTTACAAATGATTTTTCACATAGATAAACAACAAAGCGATATAATCCAGTACGAACCGCGAGAAAAAGGTATTTGTAAAACCCAAGGCGACAGAATGTGGTCATTCTTTCTGCACCAATTTAATTTAATAAATTAATAAATAGGTAATAATTAGCTATAGAATAGTTAAAGAGTTTTAGTTACTTCGCCAACGAGCGCTTCTCCCACATAGCAATATATAAACAAATGCAGCATCGTATAAATCACGTGTATGATAAAAAATACCATCCCTACAATGGGCACGTCTTCTTCTTCCTGATCTACAGACTACAAAAAACAAAACAGGAAAGATCATGCAACAAACATTTGTCGATCAATCAAACGACGAGTTGATATAATTTTCCTGAAACATACGGTTATCATACGATATCCAGTCAGACAGAACATCGCGGTGCAGATCAGAGTTTGCACAAGCAATGTTAGATTGAAGCAGTCTTCCACAATCACGGCGTACCTGCAATGAAAAGTCTCAAAATCGCGTGAAAATATTTCGAAACGATCTCTATTATTGCGTAATGTACAGTGACACTTTGAAAAATGGTTTGTTTATTCCAGATTCCGGAATCCTCGTTTTCTATTAACATTGTTAAAAGTGTTAATAGATAACGAGGATTCCGGAATCTGGAATAAACAATCCATTTTTCTTATTTATTTTCTTATTTTTATTATTTCAAT